ATTTCAAGAGTCTGGAGGCAGCCTTTGGTGGAAGATTGTAATTTAAGAGAAGGGAAAATCAAGAGCAAGATCACCTGTTTGGAAGATGGTGGTGTTAAGGGAATCGCTTTGGTGTGTTAGTCTTTGATTCTTCTCAGTGACTGCTGCTGTGACCCTGCCCTCTATCATTGGTGACCTAAAAATTACAAACTTCACCTCTTCAGGAAACTTATTCCTATCTCTTGTGCATGTACACTTACCGCTCTATTGCTATCAAATATATTTAAATGTTTTTTTTTTTTTTTTACCATTCAGGTAGCCTTCAATTGGTGGCTGATTGGCTTTCTTTCCTGCTTCTTTGATTTTCAAATAAATGTCATCATGAAGTTTTTCTAGATGTTTTTCTTACCCTTCTTACCTTTCAAGCCTTTTGCTCCCAGTGCTTGTATAGTAAGGCAGGTTTTCATCTCCACCCACTTAGGGTCTCTGGGTAGGGAGGAGAATTAAATACAATAAGAACAGAAAAACGTACCTTTTTTACATATCTAGAAGAACCCCAATAAAACCTCCAAAAACAGTAAAACCAAAATGCTTATTTAGAAGTGGCAGTTGTGGGAAAGTAAAATGTATGTAAAAAGGTAGTTAAGAGTTATTTTAACAAGATCTGTTTCTGTACATTTTTGCTAGCCCATGACTCCCCTTTTCTGATAATAAAAAAGTTTATTCTCTCTTGCTATAGGAAAAGAGCATCTTTCATGTGGGAATTTTCTCTTCTCTTTGCACCTCAGGTGATAATATTTCTTTTCCCATGGTGCCCAGAAGAGATGTCTTTACTGTATCGGCTGTTTTTCAAGGACTTCAGTTTAAGATAATCATTATGCCAAGTGGTACATATTATGGTAGTGTAATCTGCCACCTTCCATTCATTTGCTAAATGTTTCCCTTTCAGAATGTGGGTTATCCTGTTTTCAAAAAGTCCTACAAGTAGCCAGGTGTGCAGACATCTGTAATCCCAGTACTCAGGAGGCTGAGGTCAGAGGATCCATAGGAGTTAAAGGCCAGCCTGGACTACATAGCAAGGCCCTGTCTCACAGAAAAACAAAAACAAAAACAACTCTTCATGTCTTCAGGTAGTTATGGTGAACAGTTTCCTTTGGGAGCCACTAGCCTACCTATAATGAAATAACAGGCCTTTGCAAATTGCTATTCATTAATCTCAAAAGGTTATTTTATAAACCACATAACTTTTCTTACCATAATGTAGCAATATTACTATAGAAAATGGCATAGCTTTTTTAAGGATATTATTAACTGAGTTACCACTACTAGATTGGTGTTACATGTATGTATATATGTATGATTGTATACATATACATGTATGTATCATTTTGATACTGTTCTGAATATTAATAAAGTGATTAATTTATAATGAATTATTTTATCTTTGATTATTGTTTATATTGAGGCATTTCAGTCATTTTTTTCCTCCAAGATATCCACAAAATGTTAAATGATTATTTTATTCACAGTACATAGTAATGTTTATAATGGGAGTGAACGAACAGTGGCCTGGTTTATTCAGGTTGTAACAAAGGGTCTATATAGAAATTTATAAATGATATAGCTTTTTTAAAATTAAAATAATCTCCACTCTGCAAATATAAACTTCTTATAAAATTAAAACTTTTTCAAGTCTCTATTTTCTCTTACCTCTAAGTCAGCACCTCTGTACACCTTCTGATCTACTCCCACCCCCACCCCTGTGAAAAATCTTAATATTAATTGGAGCAAAGATGATTGTACTGCTGTTGCTAAGACTTTCATAGGTCTCTTACAAGCTAATGTCACCACATGGGGTCCATTTGTTCTGTGTAGTTATTCTGCAGTACAGGGAGAATGCCTTGATTAATACACTATGTGAAAATAAAATGGATTTGGAAATATTATAATATACTCTCATAAATATTAATTCACATTTGTATGGAATTGCACATAATTTTAAATATACTTTGGAGGCACCTTCAGTATGAAAGATTTGGTCTCTAAAGACAATGACATAATTTTTAAAAAAGCACAGTGATTTTAACTACTGGTGGTTTATTAATCTGATACTCTGCATGTATATGGTGTGGAACAGCAGGTGGGTTGTAGGACAAAGCCAGGGTTTTCTCTTACCCTATAGATAGCTTTGGTGTTACTCTTAGAAAGTAGTAAATTTAATCATTATGTAGAAGTATCTCAGATGGAACTCACCTGGTTTCTTCTGCCAACATTGTTATTATTCTTGAGTGTTTTTCATGATAGCTGACTTTTATTTAAATGTGATACTAAATACAACATTTTTGAGCTGAGCAGGTATATGACATAGCCACTCAAGATAGTGGACAGTGGACAAAATTCAGTTCAGCTGACATTTGTTCAACCTTTACCAAGTGTTAGGCATAGGATGCAAAAGTCTGAGGCTGTGGAATCAGTGGCCTTTCCCCTGGCCTTGATCTCAGCTTGTCCCCTTCTATACTTCTCACTACATCCTCATTGCTTCAGAACTACTACTCATACTAGAGGAAAATGATCTGCAGTGGTAGCTGATAGAGGTTAGATCCAGAGCCACACGTTGGCCTTACAGAACTTCTTTCTTTGATATTCATAGGTCTGTTATCTTTGACATTTTGGCCTAAAGATAGGTCTTTCTCCATTTTGGTATTTCTTACTGTTTCTGTCATCCTTTTTGTGTGCTTGCAGTGCCTGCTAAGTGTGTTGGTTTCCTGCCATTATCAGCTTTTCTAGCTTGCTTTGCTATTTATTGGTGTCAATTTAAAATATTTCAAAAATCACTTCTGTGTTTTTATCATTACTTTGCTTTATAGGTTTTGGTGCTCTAGCTAGTTTTCACCTTTATGTTTTTAGCAAGCATATAATAATCAACTACTATTTGCCTGACTTATATGAAACATTTACTATATAAAACACTGGGGTCTGTTAATATTAGCTGCTTAATCTTTCACTTTCTTTTGTGGGATTATACTACCAGCTGCACAAGGCCTATGCACAATCTGTTCTCTTGACTCAGTCTTTCAAATCTAGATCAAATAACAGTAATCTCAGCCCTAACACTCTCCTGTGGTGTAGATTATTTTCCCCAGTTTTAGCACCTTTTTTTTTTTAGAGCAGTACAGTTGGTTTGCAGTTCCTATATATTTGAATGATTTGATTAGCATTTGTCTTCTAAAACCTAGGACCTCTAAGGGTAGGAAGATATTTTCACACAGTTGTCTTTCCAGCACCTGTACAGGTAAATACTAGGTTTATTCTTGGCATTATATTTAGCACAATATTTGTTGAGTAAAGACCTGAGAATAAAGTGCTTTGCATGAAAAGAAAGTTCTTCTTGAGTAGGCAGCACTGCTAGGAGTCATCGTAATAGGAAGAAGAATATGGAAGGTAAGGCTAGAGTGTAAAAGCCTGTCTGAGCCCATTCAGGTTATTATAACAAAATACTGTAACTTGGGCCACTTATAAAAAAGGAAACATTTATTTCTCATAGTGTTGGAGGCTAGCAAGTCTAAGATCAGTGGGTCAGCGGAGTAAGCATCTAGTTAGGCTGGTTACTTATAGATGGTGCCTCTTAGCTGTTTTTCACATTGTGGAAAGCATAAGCAAACTGCTTAGATTTCTTTTGTAAGGGCACTAATCTCATTCACAAGGGTTTTCCCTCATCATCAAACCACTCCCAAAAACTCCTCCTTGTAATTTTATCATCTTGGGGGTTAAAGATTTCAATATGTGAATTTGGAGGCATCACAAATACTCAAGCCTTTGCAGAGGCCTCGATGTTATGCTAACAGGTATGACTGATTTGAAGAGAGATGTGGAGGAACACTGTGTATATCAAGAGGTGTGTGCTGGGGTATTGGGAAGTAGGAGAGTACATAACTGTCTTGGAAATGCTGGATGGATATGAAAGGGAGGAAAGAGAAAGTAGTATTTTCAGAAAGATAAGTAGATAACAAGTAATTTTAATTATGATTTATTTTTAAACACGCCATTCTGATGGTAAAAACTGAGAATGAGGAGCATTTTCTGTTTGAGAAGGATCATATCCATTAATTTATAAATGATCGAGGGCCAAATCACTTTCATTTTAGTATTTAGAGTGTACAGCATTTCATAGGATTCAAATGACACATCAGTTTACTTGATGTTTTGTGAACCCATTTTGCAAATAGGATCAAGGTTGCAATGACTTACACCAAGACTTCTGATGAAGAATGTGAGGGTCTGCACTGAACTCAGGCCTTTGGTATCTCATTGTGTCCTGAACTGCTTGCAGGCACAGAACTCTACCAGGTCTTGTGGGCTGACATTCTAGTTTATAATTTCTACAGGTTTGGCTCCCCTTCCTAGGAATTAATTTCCCATTTTCTGTCCACTCCCCATTTCCATCCACATCCTGTTGGTTTTGGAGTTAGTATTGTCATTGCATTTTGTAATGAAAGTGGAAATTAAGCATGCTCTGAGTAAAATGTGGTAAAAGTATAATGCATTAAGGAAACATTTTAATCATACAAATTGACGGTATCTTTCTTGCTGGCCCACATCCACCTGGCCCTGATATGTTCAATCTTGTGCAATTTATTTTGAATCCAGCATGTACTTAGTACTTTGGGGGAACATACAGTAATTGATGTGACAGTGTGGAAAGTAAGTGTATTGAGATTCCTGTGGGAATATCATGTGCTGGATCCAGCACCAAATCAGATACAAAGCCACTATTCCAGGCATCTGTGAAATCACTCTTAATGGACAGTTACTTCGTGCTTTTTAAGTTTTTTTGCCCAATATGAATAGATAGGATATACTTGTGGTGGCCTTGAAGATTCAGATAAATTAAGTGTATGGTTCATAGTTTTAGGTATTATATCCCATTTTCTCCCTCCTTTTCACTAATACTGTGTAGCTTGTATTTTTGGGTGTGACCCTAGATATCTTTGTAACCACTTCTCTTTACTTCTCTTCTACAGAAAGATGTAGCACTTAAGCCTCAGGAACGTGTGGAGAAAGGCCAGACTCCCCTGAGTAAGAAGAAACGAGAAGCACTTACCAATGGCTTGTCTTTTCATTCAAAGAAGAGCAGGCTGAGCCATCCACACCACTACAGTTCAGATCGAGAAAATGACCGCAATCTCTGCCAGCACCTTGGAAAGAGAAAGAAAATGCCGAAGGGACTCAGACAGGTGAGGAAGCTTGAATTTGTTCTTTCCTGTGGCCTTCCTTAGGTGCCTATTGCCCTGTTGTTCTTCTGAACAGGTGGAGAAGATATTCTTGGTGGGATGCAGAAGTGACTGCTCCCCAGAGAAGTGTGCTTGTTTCTAAATGAATATGACCTCTAAGTTGTATTTATTAGGATTTTAAACTTTATCATGATATTCTTTCAGTCAGATGTTCTCTGTTCAGTAAAGCGCCATGCTGGTACAACTGGTGCTTCAGACAGAGTGAAATCATCATAATCATCAAGATGGCTTGTGGAGAGAGGGCTTCATAATTAGGACATGTGGAAGAGGGAAATTTGTCAACATACATTGCTCAGTTCATGCTTCTAAGGTGGTAGAAATGATTGTGTGTTCCAGCTGTGCCTTGAAAAAAGTTGATATTTTCAAGTATTTTGGCATGTGCGGGAGAGTGGGCAAAGAAAGGAGTTTGACTTTTGGTCCCATAGTTGTTCTCCTAAGCTATAACTCAGGATTATCTTTGTAATTTGCTGATGAAAGAAAAGTCTTGGAGAGGGGCTTTCTGGCTTGTTAATAATCAAGTTTCATCAATGCACAAGCAAATATAGCTCTTGGCATTTGGGGAGTCTTTCTGTTTGTGGAAAGTCCCACATGAGATGGATTAATAATAAAAAACAAAACTATAGCAAATTTTCTGCACTAATATAGAGGCTTTAGGGCCTGTGGAGTTTACCTGTATCCTGGATGTGTTTTGTTTTGGGTGATACTATTGGGTAGGATTGACTTATCAGTTGAAGGAAGTAGAGGAAGGAATTTGGGTTCACAGAGCAGGTGTTACTAATTAGAAGTGTAATTTCTATTTTGCAGATGTTTCTTCGCAGCAGGAAAGACCTGAGATCATACAATACAGTGGTTCTAAAACCTCACAAACCATTAAAATTATATCATGAGTCTAACTAAGCACAAATTCCTGGCTCCTCTCTAGAATCTAATGAAGTCTGTAGATTAAGAAGCTTTCTATTTGATAATGGTCAGGCTGATTTGGAAATCATTTTTATGAGGCATCAAGTGTATATTTTGCATGATGATTTTTAGTTAAGAAATTGGAAAGATCAAAAGCGCCGAGAAGATGTAATTGGCAGTTTGGTGTCAGAGTTCAGCTTACTGCGTAATGAAAGATAATACTATGGAGAAATACCTGGAATAATGTTTTAGTATAGACTTAAATCTGACACTCAGGGCAATGTTTGCAGAGGTGCACATGTAATCTAAAAATCTCAGGTTGGAGTTGTAACAGTAATTATTAATATTTATACTAGTATCCATTTTTCAGTAATTTTGTTGCAGGCATTCATTGAGGCAGCTTTGTATGGTATAACCTGTAATTCACACTATAACCCTGCCTGGTAGGTAATTATCATGGTTAATTTACAGATGTGGAAACTGGGGCTCAGAAAGATAAAGTGGTTTATCAGAGATCATTTCGCAGTGAGAGACAGAGTCGGGGTTTAGACTCAGATCTCTCTATCCCCAGTGTTTGCTTGGTTTCCTCTGGTACATTCTCTTCTTCTCTTTTCTTCCCTTCCCCTCCCCTTCTTCCCTTCCCCTCCCTCTTCTTCCCTTCCCTTCTTTCCTTTCTCCTTTTCTTTCTGTCTTCTGTCTCTGGGGATTGAACTCAGCTTGTGAGGCAAGAGTGGTGCCACTGAGCTAAATCCCCAGCCCTGTACATTCTGTTTTCTTTGCTTGAGATAAAGATTGTGCATGAAGAGAAACAGAACTTTAGGTCAAAAGGTGGAGGGAGGTACTGTGTGACTAATTTGGTCAGCCTGACTTTGGCCATAGCTTATGTTTTGTTTTGTTTTTTGGTAACAGGGCTTGAACTCAGGCCCTTGTGCTTGCAAGGCAGGCTGCGGAACCACTGAGCTAACCCTGGCCTGGCCATAGCTTATGAAGGCAAACAAGAAATGGGGTAAAAGTATTCAGTTCAAAGATGGATAAAAAGGGGCAAGATTTGAAATTAACCAGATTTGTATGAAGATTCCTTCCTCCCTCCCTCCATTATGTGAGAAAAGTAATTATTCCTAGTGGAGAGAAATTTTAGTCTTACTAACTTCTCCCAGGCCAACTTGCCCTCCCAAAGGGATAGACATAAGCAGTCTTCTTACACTATCAGACAAGAAACCAATTTATTTCTGAGTTGGGTCAGAGCTCTCATCCTTGATTCCCTTTTCCCTGACTTGATCTTCCTTTTCCATTCTCTTGTCAGAGTTCTTCTTTCAATTTTGTGAAGCTCTGAGAGTTTCCACATTCTCTAGTGAAAGAGTTTATGATCATAAAAGAATGGTAGGATAGTCTGCCTGTAATTTGAGTAGCTTTTGGTCTGAATGATCAACCTTCTGTTACTAACGGTATTTGAAATCACAGTTATTTTCAGTTTAGGTAATAATTTTGAAAGGCAATATACTGCAAATTTGTAAATCAGAAAGAAATAAATCATATTTTTGGTGTAAAGGTTTTAAAACAAGTAGCATTTTCTCATCTCTAATGATGATGGCTAAATATACTACCCAATCTAGTGGGCATATTGTTTCCAGTAAGAAGGAAAGCAGAGGTTGATAACTGGGATAAGATCATAATACTTTTCATTTGTAATATTTCTAGTATCCTATGTGCTATTATGAAGTCCTAAACCAGTAACTCTGGAAAATGAGGGATTGGGATTAGATTTCTCAGTCTCCTTTTTGAGTTGCATGATTCTTTAAATTTATGGATAACACAGAAATATGATGTTATAGAGGTCTCTAAAGGAAGAAAAAAGTAGTCTGAATGTAATTTTGTTTTAGAATCTGTCAATCTATAACTTTCAGCTCTGTGAAGAGAGTTAGATGCATTTGCAAAGGTATGGTTAGTTGTGTGTCCACCCAGACAAATGCTCTCTCTTTTGGGATTATTGGTTGTATGATACAAGTGTTTAATGGCCACAGTAGATGTTGAAAAGCTTGCTCTAAGAATAGTTGAAGAATGCTTTCCTGTCATGGTAAATGCCTTTACATATCACAATCACTTTTTTTCCTGTCTTTGCCTTTTACCAGATAAAGTAACTGAATCTGACTATCTTAAATGGAAGGGGACCTTGAGATAAGAGTGAGTCTTAAAGAGCATTTCTAAATTGATGGATTGTCCTTTAATGCTACTTATTGTAGGACTTACAATCTGTAGAACTATAGCTAAAAAGCAGGCAGTAGGAGGTGGGAACTTAGTCTTTATGTCTGACTTGACGAGAATGAATTAAGTTTTTATCTTATTAGGAATTGGTACTTCTTGAGCAAGCAACTTAATGCACAGCTTTCCTATAATTATGGGAAGATGCTAGTCCAGTATGATTTTTTTTCCTTGAGAATCCATTGAAAGTAACTGATACTTTTACTTTGAGAGTACAATTATGTACTTTTAAGAGAAAAAGTGTAGTTTTAAAATGACACTCCTTTTTTATTCTCTTTCTGGTTATGAAACCTCAACTCTTGTGATGTGTTTCCATTCTGTAAAAAGAAAGCTTTTTAATTGGAATTTAACTTATTTCCTGGATTATGTTTTTAAGCATAGATACATACTATTTTAGCTTTCCTGTCACTGGGACAAAATACTGGACATACACAACTTAAGGAGGAGAGATTGATTTGGGCTCATGTTTTCAGAGAGTTTGGTGCATGGTAGGACAGCTCCAAGGCAGAAATGGCATGGTAGAAAGCCTGGCAGAAAAAAGGTGCTTAACCCATTGCATCCAGGAATGAGAAGGAGCCACCAGAATATACTTTCCCAGGGCATTCCATGACCTCCTACCTCTTCTGACCAGGGCAGACCTCCTAACTGCATATTCAGCTGGGAAGGCATCAGTGGATAAGTATGGTTTCCTCATGATCCATTCACTCCTGAAAGTCCCAACTCTCAACATGTAAAACTTTGGGGAACATTTTAGATCTGAGCCATAACAATGACTTAGAAGATACTAAACTAGCAATTACCCTTGCAAATGATTGCTTGTGTGTGTGTGTGTGTGTGTGAGAGAGAGAGAGAGAGAGAGAGAGAGAGAGAGAGAGAGAGAGAGAGAGTCTTGTTATATAGTTCAGGATGGCCTTGAACTCACTATGTAGTATAGGCTGGCCTCAGACTCAGTGAATTCCTCCTGCCTGAACCTCCTGAATGCTAGGATTATAGGCATGTTTTGCCATGCCTGGCAGTTGCATTTTTTAATATGCCAGATTTGAACACTCTCCTTAATTCCCAAAGGAGTTTTTAAAAACTTAGGAAGATAAGAGCAAGTTACTTGTTACACAAAATAATGTATGTCTTTCTGACCTCCCTAGCTTTATCTTTGTCCTGCTTGGAACTTCTAAGTGCTTGTTATGTGAGCACCTACACATTGAATTAAAAAGTTTCAGATGTTAGTAATAAGACCACGGTAGACTATTTTTCCTCTTACTTTGATTTGGGGGTAGAGAAATCAAAACCAAGGTTGCCTAAGTCCTTTCTATGTGAGTGTTGTTTTCTAATTGAACACAAGGAAGTCATGTGCTGTCCAGCTTACCTGCTAAATTATGAGTCTCAGAAGCAATTTTTGAAATTGTAACCCTTCCCAGAATTGAGTGAACCCAATTTTTCTTTCAACATATTTAACTTTTAGACTACAAGGAATGTTTTCAAAATATATTATTTTGTAATTTAAAACACAGAAAAAGCAAAGGAGTTTTAAAAATGAAGCAGTGATGATGAAAAGTTGATGAGAGTTCAAAGAACTCTCAGATTTGGCTCCATTTGGATTTCTAAATCTCCATTTAGAGCATTAGTCTTTCCTTTTTTTTTTTTTCTCCTGTAAGAACTGAACCAGAGGAAATAGGCTGAAATGTACTAGAAGCCATTTTTAGGTTATATAAACTTTGCTAAAGAACACTGCTTATCAAAATGAATGGATCCCTAAAATGTACCAATAAACTCAATTAAAGCTGAAA